CCCCCCCCCCCCCACCCCTCCCAAGTCAAACTTATTTCTTTCTCAATATAGATTTGTATAATAAACGCTTTCCATTCTTCCCTTTTTACTGATTATCCCTGATTGGATAAGGTCAGACCAGTTGTAGTCTTCATACACTTTTGCAGCTCTTTCTTCCCTTTTCTCATTTCTTCCACGACTCCTCATGTTACTCTACAATGATAGCTCTTTTCGGTGCTTTACACAGTCTTCCATTACATTCATGGACACACAATTCTTTACTAAGTTCTGCTGTTCGGGGTTTGTCTGAACTATGTGAAGTAGTCATTGGAAAATCATAGAATGGATCCGAAATTAAATAGTTTCTCGACTTTTGCTCTTGGCAAGAAGTCGTCAATCTTCCGGGGAGACCCATCTTCATTTGTATTTGGAGTACTGAAGACATCTAAGTGATGACCTTCTCATGATTTATCTGGAAAAGAACGAGGTATACGCTCCATCAAAGGTGCCAGCCATTCTGACAGTATTCACATTTGTCTGGAGCACATGATTCGCGAAGGAATTCTAGGTAAAGCTCTCCTGACTGAGAGTGTTTTGGCATAAATGCATCACGTTTCTGCATATAGTGATATCCAAGAACAAAAGGCGTATTACTAGCTTTTGCATGTTGATATTCTTTCACATAAGCTTTGATGAAAAACTATGAGAGTTTTCCAACGCAGGCGTCAACTCACCCAAAACGGGTGCCCCGTCTATTCGTTCAGCAATCTCCTCTGCAACTCTCCATGCATTTTTAAATTTCCCATTCGAATCTCTTCATTTCTTGGAATTCTTGCATGCTCTTCCACAAAAAGATTCTTTATTTGGTGATCGATCTGTGAGGTCATGAAATATTGGGAAATATTGCCAGTCTAATGTACCACCATCAAAAGCGCATCTCCTATAGCACTATTTGTCCTTCAGCCTCATTCTGGCCTGAATCCTCCCCTTGATAATATAATAATAATAATTAACTATATTTTTACAGGTTAACCTGGTCAGCTATATTAAGCTGCTATAAATCAAAGACCTGTGCTTACAATAAAATTTATATAGATAAAAAGTGTAAAGCTTCATATTTACAAAATGTTTCGAATAGTTATTGAGAATAGTGTTCAATAAAAAGTGAGATGTCTCTAATTTACGAATCGTTTCTAACTTTATAACAGTTAAAAATAATGCTACATTGTTCTTTAAATCTCAGTAATGATGTTTCTTTTGTTAGACTGTCTGGTAGTTTGTTGTATTGAACTGCTCCTTGGAATGCAAATCGTTTCCGTACAGTTTCAGTTCTAACTTTTGGCAATAGCAGTTTGTTGTTATCTCCACGGGTGCCTTTTCCATGGCAATGATCTGTGGAGTCTGATGTAATAGTCCAGATTCCAGAGGCGACATATTTCAGCTACTCTGATTTGCACATCAAAGTGCATGGGTAACAGATACACCAGGTCTTGCATCGGTGGGATTTATCGAAGGGTAGACCAATATCTTTGATTCGTTCCATTGCCTTGTTGCACTATAATGCCAGAATTTCACATGCATGACTTTATAATGCTATCTTCGCTGTTCACTGGACACTGGTATCACTTAGTAAATCAATTACAGTCTTGATAATCTTCTGGATTTCAGTTATAAGAGGCATTAACCTGTTTGACAAAATGGTAAGATCAGATTTCGAATGGCCCTTTAATACCTTTCTTTTCGCTCTGATCCTGTTACTAACCACGGAGATGCAGTGACCGTAGACCAATTAAAGCTGAATGGCGGTGGACCAATTAAAACTGAATGATAATAAAACCGAGATAATATTGATAGGCTGGCACAATTGAGAAAAGTGAACATTACGCAACTGAATATTAGTGAAGTAGTCACTGGGAAAATTTTTGAAAATGCATAGAATGGAAATTGTATGGACCTTTCTTGGAAATAGAATGGATTTTTGATTTTCCATAATAAAAATAGTATGGATATACTATGGATTTAGTTGTGCTATTGCAAATATCATAGTAGGAATTTCACATTTTTTTCCCAGTAAGTAGAACCCATTACAAGCTCGGCTGTGCGTAGCTTTGGAGGCTTGGATGTTCGCTTGATTAAAATCTTAAAGACAAATACGGAGTTCTTCTTGACATATGATAGTACCAAATTGCTTGTTTAGGCTGTATAATTAACAACGTCGCGTAGTGACTATATTGTAATGCGCAGCGCGACTAATAGGCTATGCGCCTATAGATATGATCATATATCTCCAATCCTACATGAACTATACATGCTACCTGTGAGGTTTAGAATTATCTACAAAATCACCATTATAGACACATTGCACTGACGTCACAAATCCTTAGAGTGTCCTCCAGATGCTCCCTAACAATATCTGTTCGGGTACAACAGCCACATACAGCGCAAAAATTAACCATTTTAATACAAAATTATTATAAACTTTTACAAAATTTGCCTTGTTTACAAAAGTTATATTATGCATAGATTGCTAATTTGTCCTCCAGATGCATCGTCACTGGCGCTGTGACGTCATGTACAATGGATCTATAGTATATATCACCTTCAAGGTTGCTTACTTAAAAGATCTTATTTGATAAAGCAAAATACACGCTATGATCTTCGCTCTGATAATTAATGGTGTTGTTTCGCAAGCCCCATCGGCCAAATCAGTGGCGTAACTCCTATGAGCTCTACCCGGTAAGAGCCTGGGGCACTCAGGCCATCGGGCTTCCAGAGGGCACCCTGAACTGAGTTGTCCGGGAGCCTTGTTCATCTAATTTCCGTTTCGTACAGCTATTACGAACCTTGCATATTAAGACTTTCTGTATCAACTGCACCAGCACAGTTGGTATACAACGTGACTTCAGAAGTTGAAGCAAAAAAGGGCAGAGTACATATGTACAATGGAAACATGGAAATAATATCTTCGGAGCTAGCCAATGGCAGTGAAGAAGTACACGACGGGTTCCCACCAACAGAACTGACAAACAACCGATCTTGTGAGAACTATACAGCTTTTTCAATAGAATCATCAACCGATCAGCTAATCTCAAGAAGCTTGCCCAGCAGCTGGGCTGCATAACCACTGCAGGAGAAGATAGAAAGTTGACTCTGAAAAGACTTTGTACTGCAACTCGGTGGCCTTCATGAATTGATACAATCAAGGCAACTAAGAACACGTTTGGTAATATCATTCAGCTGCTGAAAGGATACATCAAAGATTATAAAAATAAAGAAAAGCAAGAGGCACTTGGGAAAGGATACTTTCTTCAATAAATTTAGCATCCAAAGATTTTCAAGTAGTGGTCATGGATCTAGGAAAATCTGCCAGTGAATTTGGAAGAGCGTTGACTAGTGTTAGAGAGATGAGAGTAACGTGCACCTTCGTGCGAATCGTGCACGTTTCAATATTTCCAAGCCCATGATAACACGTTCTAGTCACAAAAAGTATGAACGTAAACAAGTTTGGTCGCTCTTACAATATTATGAGCTTGGAAATACTGAAACGTGCACGGAGGCACATCAAAACATGACAGTTGCGCCAAAAATAACGAAGACTTTGCACTGTCACACTGTGACACGTCACATGAGCGGTGAATACATTTCCGTTTTCGACGGTGAACGCCTCGTTTCAAACGTAAAAAAACGCGCGAAAATATTTGCGGTTTGTGCTTGAATAATTAATACAAATAGCTGTAACTGAGAGTGGCAAACACTTCACGTAATATTTCAATCCGACTATGAAGAGTGGACTAGATTTCAAGTCCGCGCAATTTGATCAAGGCCGAGGCGAAACCTCGGACTTCAAATCTAGTCCAGTCCGAATTGGAGGATTTGAAATGACATCTCATGCGAATAAACCACTACTTACCAGTCCTAGGACTGGATCAATGTACTTCATCAGGGGCCGGTTGTTCAAAGGTAGATTAGTGCTAATTAACCCAAGGCCAGGGTTAAAATTTAACCCACTGTTTTAGTTTGCATATTTCTGCATGTCCATTTATTTCAAAATATCAGAAAAGAAAACTTCTATTGATCCAGATATGATTTGTGAAGAAATCAGTGGCGGCGCCAGGGGGGGCAAAAATTATTTTTTGCCCCCCCCATTTTGCCCCCCCCCCTCAAAAAAATTTATTAGTCACTGAGAGCGACTAAAGGCTACACAAGCGTTTTGTTGTTATCGGAAAATGTATGGCTTATAAGTTGTCATTACTCATTAGTGAATGCGCGTATACATGAAACTGTCTTTTACAGTTTCAATATTAGTTTGTAAATCTCTGAATGGTAAAACTTGCCAGTACTCCAATAATACGTTTCAAAAAAAGCTTTAGTCTTGCAAAGTTAAATTCTCAAACGTGTAAAGGCCGACTTTAGCTAATTCACTGATTAAGGACATGATTGTTTGTGGGGTAGCTGATCAATCCCCCCGTGAAAGACTCTTACGTGATGCGGATTTAACACTTGCCAAGGCCATTGATGCCGGTATTGCTGCAGAGGAAACCAAGCGTCACGCAAAAGAACTCGAAAAACATCAACAATCGTCAGATATTCACCAAGTTTATCATTCAAAAGAAAGAAAACTCAAAAAATCTAACAGAGCCCCTGATGACGTCATCAAGAAATGTAAGTTTTGTAATGGCTCCCACCAACGTGGCAACTGTCCTGCCTACGGGAAACGGTGTAGAACATGCAACCGTAAGAATCATTTCGCTGTTTGCTGTTCCCAAAAATCTGTCAAATGTGTTACTGAGTAGGATAAGTCCTCTGATGATGAATTTTTCATCGATATGGTTAAAGTCACTAATACCAATCAGAATCTCTCAACTGAAGGTGATGGTGAAAACACCCCAACTCCCAAATCCATGCCAACCAATGCTAGTCCCAATGTTTTCACAGTTAACAATACCAAATCAGATTGGTCTGTCACACTGGGCATGAATTGAACTGATGTCAATTTCAAGATAGATACTGGAGCCAAGTGCAATGTAATTCCAAAGCGCCTACTTTCCAACCTCTCACCTAGACCTAAGCTCAAAACAGCAAACGTCCAGCTCTCTGCATATAATGGCACAACTATCCCTGTTGCTGGTAAGTGCATTGCTCAAGTCAAACACAGGAGACAAACAATTCCCGTTCTCTTCATGGTTGTAGATTCAGACTCTGTCCCCATACTAGGATTAAATACATGTGACAAACTGAACTTGATCAGACAAATGTATCAAATTTCAGAGGAAGTCCTATTGAGGAGGAATTCTCAATCATAGCTGATCTATAAGGTTGTGCCAACTCCCAAGATGACATCATTGTGTGGGGAACAACTAAACAAGAGCACGACCTTCGCCTCAGAGATGTACTGACACGTATCCGAGTCAGTGGATTGAAGCTCAACCGAAACAAATGTGTCTTTGCCGTAGAATCCCTCACATTTCTGGGACACACACTTTCTGCTGATGGTGTTAAGCCTGATCTCTCCAAAGTTGAAGCAATCGTCAACATGCCAATTCCTGAATCGAAAGGTGATCTTCAACGATTCTTGGGTATTGTGAATTATCTGGGTAAATTTGTCCCCAACCTCTCACAAACCACCACTCCGCTTCGTGAAATGCTCAAGAAAATGTTCATTTTGACCTCCAGCAACCACAACCGGACGCCATCCAAGAGCTGAAACGTTTGGTCACTTCACCTCCATGCCTCAAGTTTTATGATCCAAACCTGCCTACTCGATTGAAACCTGACGCAAGTG